GCTCCATGCTGCTTCCAAAAGCACCAATCATCTGGAGCCAATCAGCTGGCATCCTGCCGGCCCCTAGGGCTTCTGCCGAGCCCAGATAGTCCTGCAGCTGCAGCTGCCTCCCCCTCAGTGTAGCAAACTTTTCTAGGACAGTTGTATACCACCTGCCACATCGCAAAGTACCACAGGTTGGAAAGCCCTGGTCTAGATCTCTTACCCTATTACAAGTTGCTTTGATTTTATTATTTTAAATTCAATGTATTCAATTTAATATGGCCACCCACTTCAGAAAACTGAGCTGATCACCATCAATAAGATTGCGGTGTGTGTGTGTGTATGTGTGCAGGCGCATACACGAATATAAACCAGGAATAGTTTAACCATGGAACCCATGGTTCATTCCACAAGCTAAAGATGTCTGGACTCACACAACATGTTTGGCTTAGTGCATTGAATGATTTGGAGTTCATAGAAGCAGAATGAGTTCCTTGCCTAAAAAAATGTACTTCAAATATCACTGTTCTTCCTACCAAGCCTAGGTTTATACAAGGCATATTCACAGTGAATAAGGTCCATAATATGTGAAGTTGTTGAGGTAGGCCTGAAGCTGACTGTACTAAATATTAATAATTTTAAAATCCTGGACAAAGATAGTACTCATTTTAAGCAAGAAAAATGTTTTAAATGTCTCATCAATCAATCAATATTTAACAATTAAACCATTCAGAGAATCATTTCTGTACTTTACAAGAAAATACTTCCAGCCCATGCGTGACAGATTAATTTGAATATTCTTTCCTGCAATAGAAAGCATTTTTTCTAAAAGTTTTCCAATTAAAAGGGGGAAAATCATTCCAATTTCATTTGCTCTTCCCTCTATAAAAATTAACTTTGTCTAGTGCTTCTTGATTTATTGGAAACAAGCTGGAAAAAATAGTAAAGCTATTGCATAATTGTCCTAATATTTTCCCTCTTTTTATACAACCTTTTTCCAAGTTTTCATCACTGCCACATCAATTCCACAGGATATAGACAGAAGGAATGTTTGAATTCCAACTGCCAGCTTTTATATTATGGAAGAATTTTGATTCACATAAAAAGCATTTGTGTCATTATAGCAGCTGTATGGCAACGTAGCCTTCAAAACCTATTGCTGATGTACCAATGGCGATCGTAAAGTCACAAGTAATTCATATAACAGCCTCCACCTCAAAATGAAGAAACACCAACATTACTTCAAAACATTAACTTAATTAAGAATAACAATTAGGAGCCACGTATGAATTTTGGTGATCTGCCTAATTTCTTTGATTCTGAAAATCTGATCTAGATGTGCTGTGAAACACTTCCAACTGTGTCACAGCAACACAACACTGAATGTTTTATGGTGAGGTCTGCCCCATAATTAAAATGTCAAACAAGACAGAATATTTGATTTGGGCTTTAAAAAGTTATAGGGTCTAAATCAGTTAAGTAGAATCCTCTTAATGCTGTAATTTGGGCTGTAACATTCAGGTGCAGATAAGAAAATGGTTCTCTACAGAGAATATTCCTTATATACAGTTTATGAAACATCTCGGGAAAAGTTCTATCTAGACTAGGGGTTGGCAAACTTAAACACCCAAAGAGCCATTTGGACCTGTTACCCACAGAAAACACCGGGAGCCACAAAGCCCTGCTGCTTCCCCCCCCCCAGCACTCCACTGCTGCTGCTGCTTACCCCCACACACACACATGGAGCACCCTGCCGCTGCTTTCTCCCCCTACCTCCCCCACTCTGCTGCCACTTTTCCCTCCTACCTCCCCCACCTGTTGCTGCTTTTCTTCCTACCTCCCCCACGCGGAGCACCCTGCTGCTGCTGCTGCTGCTTTCTCATCCTAACTCCCCTGCACGGAACGCCCTGCTGCCGCTTTGTCCTCCTACCTCCCCCATGTGAAACGCTCTGCCACTGCTGCTTTCTCGTCCTACCTCCCCACGCGGAGTGCCCTGCCACAACTTTTTTTTTCTACCTCCCCCGTGCAGAGCGCCCTGCCACCGCTTTTCCCTCCTACCTCCCCTGCATGGAGCACCCTGCCACCACTTTTTCCATCTACCTCCCCCGTGTGGAGTGCCCTGCCGCCACTTTTTCCTTCCATCTCCCCTGCGCGGAGCACCCTGCCACTGCTGCTTTCTTGCTTTACCTCTCCAAGTGGAGCGCCCTGCTGCCGCTTTTCCCTCCTACCTCCCCCTCGCCAAGCACCCTGCCGCCACTTTTCCCTACCTCCCCCGTGCGGAGCACCATGCTGCTGCTTTTCCCTCCTACCTCCCCCATGCCGAGTGCCCTGCCACCACGGCTTTCCCCAGCAGCAAAGGTGGAGTTTGGGAGGCAGCAGTAGGGTGTAGCCTAGCCATGGCCCAGCAGCAAAGCTCGTCCTCCCCACTCAAGGCACAGCAGCAGGATTGCTCTCAATAAGGCGGGCGCACACAAGCGAGCAGCAGACACAGCTCATATTGTTTGAGAGCAATCCTGCTATTGTGCCTCCGCTTTCTTCAACCATGATCCCCCCTCCCCAGCCAGCCAGCTCTTCATGAATTTAATATGGACATAAAAATGTTTCACCACCTTTATCAATATTACAAAGAAAAGTTTAAGAACTTTAATTGTGCTTGATCAGGTTCCCTCATTTTCCTCCAGTCACTCTCTTGGCATCTCTTACCCACTTCATCACTCTCTGAAAGTCAAAAGACTCACAACGATCCACACTCATAGAGAGGATCCTGCAATCTAATCTGAGCTGTCATAAACTTTCATTCCAGCATGATTATAGCAGGTTATTCTCTATCTCTCTTTGTCTCCATCTCTCTGTCTCTGTCCCTCTCTCATTATAATGTTCTCTGTTTTTCAAATATTTTTATTAAGGATTATAAATGAAAAGAGTAAAAGCCAGTGCAAACTACAAAAACTACAAATAGAAAAATAGAAAAGAAAAAAATTGCGGGGGAAAAAAAAGAAAAGGACAGGAGAAAGAGGGAAAAAAACCTTTCTCCTTCATCCCAACAGGTAAAAACAATTTTAGTAGCTTATCTACCATCTTTAAATACAGTATAATTATCCCCATACCTCATCTCTTAATTAAAAAAACCATCAAAATATTTCATTAAACGTTCTTTACTAAAAGTCCAGTGAGGACAACCACATATATATTCTCTCTCTCTCTCTCTCTCTCTCTCTCTCTCTCTCTCTCTCTCTCTCTCTCTCCAATATATCATTTAGCTCTAATAAAATACACCACATTTATAAGTCTTCCCTGAATTTTAAAGATAGTGATTAATTGCTTCAAAAACAAACAATTAAATAACTAGCTTGCTGTTCATCTGTTTCAAAACAAAAATCTTTCAAAATTTAAAAGAAAATATTTTGTAAATTCAATAATCCTTCATTTATCACTTCTCGTGCAGTTTTTTTGCTCCCAATAAGGCGAGCAATCCCACTGCTGCACCTCCGCTTTCTTCAACCATGATCACCCCTCCCCAGCCAGCCACCATTGCCGACCTACTCCTCACCTGACCAGCCGGCCTCATGGTCTTCTCCTCCTCGTCTTCTGCACTCAATCAGCTGCTAGCAGCTTGGGTGGCTCTGCTTCGTCCGAGTTGAAGAAAGCGGAGGTGTAATAGAAAGCAGCTTTCTTCAACTCGGACGGAGTTGAAGTCGATTGAGTGCGGAGGACGAGGACAAGGAGGAGAAGAGCGTGAGGCCAGCTGGCCAGGTGAGGAGTAGGTCGGCGATGGTGGCTGGCTGGCTGGGGAGGGGAGGATCATGGCCACTTGGGGGGCTCTGCAAAGCCTCATGGCAGTGGCATTGGCAGCTCCCCCCACCCAGCCCATTTCCCCAGCTCCATATAAGATGCTTCGCAGAAACCCCTCCTCTCGGACCCACATGGCACCTTCTTTCCAGGTCCACCGCAGTCCTCTGTTTCTTCCTCCACCGCTGCGTGCAGTCCCAAAAAGAAAAGAAGTTTGTAGGCAGTCCCACAAACAAAAGAAGTGGGACTAAAAAAGTTCAATCAATCCATTCCAACTTTGCGAGATCTTTTTTTTCGCAAGAAGTTGGAATGGATTGATTGAACTTTTTTAGTCCCACTTCTTTTTTGTGTGTGGGACTGCAAATGGCAGAGGAGGACTGGGAGCCGCAGTAGAGAGATGAAAGAGCCACATGCAGCTCCAGAGCCGCAGGTTGCCGACCCCTGGTCTAGACCAACTTTTTAATTGACCTGCTGGCTTTCTGCGTATGAGGAATATATTATGTGGGGAAGCATTCTTTAGGGTTATTTTGCCCACTCGCTGTTTGAAATAGTACAAATTCAGCAACCTGAAAGCTTTTTCCTATTTGATTTACCATTTGACAAATTAGGGTATGCATTTGTATCTTCATAATGAGAAACAGATCTGAATAGCATTATTTGAAGGATAATTATTAATAAGCTAATAGGATCCATGAACTTATTAATTTCCAAAATGGGAAACCAAACCAATTAATAACTTTTCTTTGCTTTAACTTGATGATGAACAGGGAACTCTGGTTTAATATAAACCAGAAATTGCGAACTCCTCAGCCTGTGTTAATTTCTCCCTTATGCTAGGAAAGGTATTTCAAACCAGCTCAGAGAGAGAAGAGGATTTTTTATTTCCTTCTCATGCTGCTGGCTTGCTAAAATCCATTACAAAGACTCATTTGGCTGGCATAAGAAAACGCTAAATGATTTTACCGCACACTTTAACAAATATTTAAACACACTTTTAACTTTTAACTTACTACTGTTGAACACAGAGCTAAAGCAAATGTACTTAAATTTTCTATTTGATTAAGTGCTGTTCATTTCTAAACATTTATTCCCAATAACTGCTTTGGGCATAGATCTTGGGAGAAATAATTAAAATTGGCAAGTTTTGAATGAAATATTTGGTTAATTGGTAAAAAGGGATATATTAACAACTTTTAACTTTTTTCCAGAAAGAAAAGAGATTAGCTACCCTTGATCACATCTTAAACTTGCAAGTGTAAGATTTGCATCCACGAAGACTAGTAAAAGTATATAGGACTACAAGCTGCAGTTCCTTTTGCCAGATGAATTCAAATGGAATGACAACAAGGCAAAGAAGGAAATGTGAGTATAGAATTCATCAAAACATTAATGATGTGTTATCTTTGAATAGATACGGATTCTGAGCTTCCTTTGCTTCATATTCCCATATATGAATGGATCTTTGGTTTCTTTTAAACATCTGCTCTGTCTGAAAATTATGTGATTACAATGTGGCATTCAAAGTCAGCGCAAAGTCAGCACACACAAATACAGCAGCACAGTATGAGCTTTGTGTTGAAGGCAAGAGTTACCAGAACAGATATTCAAAGAGAAAGCTACAATGATCTGGATTAAACATTTGGAGATTTTCAGTACTGTATATATTGCATTAGACATTTAATCCTTACTCACAGTAGAAGGAATGATAATTATGCTACTGAACCCAATCCATTCTATTTTTATTCTGTCATGCCCAAATCTTTGGAATCAAAGTGATCTAGATGTCACTTAGTCCAAGCATCTGCACAAGGACAACAATCTCTACCATACTGAAATTCCTTCAAGCAATTAGGCCATAAAGGATATAGCTACAATCCTCTATGTCAATATATAATAGCCACAGATTAGGATCAAGCAAAATGTGCCCAGAACAAATGTGATCCAGAGAAGATTAAAGATGATTAACTCCCACTGTAATCAACAGCATTTATATACTGTCAAGTTTTCTCTTTTTTTGCTGTACAAAAACAGAATTGATGTGTAAAAAGAAAATGAAACATTAGAGTTCACTTATGTGATTACCTTTAGAGGGCAGATTGTAAGCTTTCACACAAGGATAAAGCCAAAATGCACAGGCAGTTCGGTGGTATAAGCACTCTTGAAATAATATAAAAGTTTAAAAGGCATGTAGAACTAAGAAGGAAATCACTGAGTTATTTAAACAGGGGTATCCACAGAGTAAGCTAAAATAAAGTCAAGAGGGCATCTGGAATAGCGGATTTGAAACCCACTCCTTTTTATGTGTATAATGCATGTAAAAAAAAGTGGGTCACACAGGCCATCTTGGCTTATTTTGACCCCCTGCAAACACCCCCAAATCTAATCATCATTATTTTGATTTCAATTATGAGTGTGTTATTTTAAAACTGATTATTTAGAAAGATTATAAAATCTAGCTGAGATATAAGTAGCAGGAATTCAGTTGCTTGGCAGCTTTGGTGGTCTTACAGTCTGAGGTACCTCCAGACCTGTGTGTAGAGTCACCTGCAAGAGGGGAAAAAAGCAAGAATTTAGAATTAAAAATATGTGCACAAAGTAGGTAATAATTAGCTCTGGCAGGTTTTGCAGGAACCCATTGAAATGGAATGTTTTTCTAGGATTTTAGAGCATAAAATATAGAAGTAACTTTCCCAGCATCCATTAACTTGTGATACAGGGTGCACGCAGGGTGGTGAGTGGCAGGGATAGCACAAGGCACAGAGGGACTGGAAAAGGATATGCAGGTGGGAAAACCTACCCTAGCTATTTGTGTTCTTCCCTGACAACTTTCCCACTGACTTTCTTAGGGAAGCCAATAGGGAAAGTTACAAATGGTGGTCACAGTATTGCAGGGCACTGCAATCAGTCATAAGTGTGAATCAGTTGCCAAGTGCCCAGATTGTAATCATGTAATCATGGACAACCAGAAACCTGTTTGCACCTATTTAAAGCAGCTATGCCTTTTCTCAGGATATATGGCAGCTGCACGATGCAAACATGAGGACAGTCATAGCCACTATTCATATAGCTCCATCGTAACTTCAGTGATCACTGAAGAAATGGTCGTAAGTTGATGGCTATCTGTATATATTTGTTGTTTTCTGTCTAAAGTGCAATTTCCATAGAAGAGAATAGATGTAGGTCAGGGTTTAACTCTGGAGTCCTTGTTGTTCCCTGAACTTGAACAGACTCAACTAAAGTTTTAACTGGGAAACTAGTTGCCTAGAGCAAACTAAATCCAGGAACTTTAAGAAATTTCTGGAAGTTTGGCATTTAGACAAATCAGCAAATTAATAGACACTTAAAGATAAATATTTATACATCATTGAAAACAAACAATTAAAAAATAAAGCTAAGAAGAAACAAAAAGACCAGAATGCATCATCTTTAGCCACCTACATTCAGATAAGCAGAGATTAACACCACAAAAACAATCCAGCAGAAAACAATATCTTAATCAAGGAATTACCCACAGAGAAAACTACACCCCCAGCAACATTGGCAGGTCAAGCTACTACCAGTATATATAAATAGGGAGCAATCCCCACAGTCACTAGCATTGATTTTGTTACCTACCGTTTCCCCAAAAGTAAGGCCTACCCCGAAAATAAGCCCTATCTTGGTTTTGGGGGTGGGCCTAATATAAGCTCTACTCAAAAATAAGCCCTAGTTTTGGGGCAAGGCACACACCTAAAAATCAAGTTAGGATAAGGATGGGGGTGTGGAGCTGCCCACGCGCCCCTCACCCACTCATCTTGCAGCCAGGCCTCTTCTCACTAGCCCACTTTTCTGTGGCATCTTCTGTAGCCAGGCCTTCATTTTTCAGTCACAGGTCTTTCCGGAAGGCCACTGCAGCTGAGAACCGAGCTATGGATCCATAGCTCAGTTCTCGGCAGCATAGGCCTTCCAGAAAGGCCTGACTGCAAAATGCAGACTGGAATGCAGCTGCAGAATGAAGTTGCGCCTTTGGTCAGAAGAAGTGGGCTAGCTGGGCAAGGCTGTCAGTGCCAGAGTTGAGTATAAAAGACACCCCCTAAAATAAGACCTGGTGCCTCTTTTGGAGGCAAGAAAAAAATAAGGTTCGGTCTTATTTTTGGGGAAACACGAGTAGTTGGGTAATGTCTGCAATCAAGTTCAGAAAGCAACAAGGACTCCACATAGTGCAACTTATTCAACTATTACTTTGAACTGACTTAATCCAATAGAATAAAATTTTACCTGAACATTTCGGTTGAGACTTAATGCGGGCATGAAAACACCCTCCACATTCTCAAACGCTGGAGGGCCCTGTTGCTGGCCATTTATGTAAAACGTTAAGGAGTGCTTGTTGAGGTCCAGAAGAACACCTACAGTTGCACCTTTTGAAACACCTCCTTCTGTCCTAAAAAACAGAGACAATAATGACGTTAACGACATCAGACTCTGCATATTTTAATTTTCTTAATGCAGGAATCTCTTAGGGAAGTGCAAGAAGCTACGTAACTCCTCACTGGGTCTCTGCTGGGCTTCAGATTAGATTCCAAAAATGTAGTTTAGACTCTACGCGGATAGGAAAGAATTTGCCTATGTGAGTAGAACCTGTTTGCCCCTGTTTAAAGCAGCTATGCCTTTTCTCAGGATATGTGGCAGCTGCATGATGCAAACATGAGATCCTCAGAAAAACTGAAGCTGCTTTAAAAAGTTGCCAATAAATACTATGTTTGCAACCTAGCCCTTGTTCTGAATTATTTCTGAAAAACTGAAATAGTTACAACCTGCCCAGCCTTGCCCAGAGATCTGTTTCAGAATGGCTATCCTGTATTTTCAATATTATGCATCAGCAGCCTGGCTCTATTTTGCTTTAAGGGGAGCCCAACAAGCCAGGTATATCTCAGAACATTTCCCAGGGCCCAATAAATCTGCAAATATTTGTATCAAAACAAATCCATCATCTAATCATCTCCCTCATCCATTTAGTTACCTGACTCTAGGAAAAAAATTAACCGGGATAAGGGAATGGAAACAATGGCTTCTAAAAGACACAAGGATGACTACAGAACTATAAACAAGAGGATGAGGAGAAGGGGAGAAAATCATCCCGCTACCTACTAACCCTCTCTTTTGTTTGGCAGAAAATTATGTTGAAATATTACTTTTACCATAAAGAATCACAGTTTAGGAAACACTTTAGTTGTGCAAGTTTAGTGAAAACATCCAACTGTGTATAGTGATAGAAAAAAATAATAGAAAATTAGCTAACAGCTTTTACTCATTGTCTGAAAAAGTTGGCCAGGAGTTTGCAATCCAGATAGAGCAGCTGTAGCTAAATGAAATGCAAATTTATAAGGTTTTTTTTTTAAAAAAATAATATGCATGCTACATTGTTTTTTATCCAATTATACCAGGGTAAAACATATACAGGTAGTCCTTGACTTACAACAATTTGTTTCGTGACCAAAGTTATAACAGCACTGAAAAAAGTGACATACAACCGTTTTTCACATTTACGACTATTGGGGTATTCCCATGGTCCTATGATCAAAATTCAGAGGCTTGGCAACTGACTCATATTTATGACAGTTGCTGTGTCCCGGAGTTTGCAACCTTCTGACAAACAAAGTCAATGGAGAAACCATTGTCACTGTTAATAAATTTAGTGAAGTGATTCACTTAACAAATGTGGCAGGAAAGGTCGTAAAATGGGGCAAAATTCACTTAACAAATGTCTCACTTAGCAACAGAAATCTTGAGCTCAATTGTGGTCGTTCATCAACGACTACCTGTATTCTCTAAAATGGTTTACAAATGAAACATTTGGAATCCACTAGGTTGAAGGCATAAAGGATCTGCAGTATTGAGGAGAAATACTAACTTACAATTTACATGGTTGCTGTAAGGTTTCCAATTAGATAAGAGAACACTTTCATTTTTAATCAACAGACATGCTTATTTCTTAATTCCTTATTTCCTCCGTTTAGATAAATGACCATTAAGCCCTCTCTAATATAATGATGAACAGTTCACTATTACTTCACCGACTTATATTTTAAAACAACTCTGAATAAATTTGGGGAAATTCCACACAGTAATTTAGTATAGATTCATGGCCACATCTAGATTCAGGTCTACAAACAGAACCATAGAAATGACTATAGTCAGTTCTCATCTGTTATCTTAAAGTAAGAAAAGAGAGACTGCGTAAAACTAACACTTTGATTGATTTATCAAACTCCATTTAAATGCCTTTTGCTATTTTGCCTCTTCAGTCTTTTGCATTAAAACCAAGAATCTGCTAAATTCCACATCAGATTTGGTCCATAAGCATAACGCTGACAGATGTCAAAACAGTTATGTAATGTAACATAGATTTATGGGTTACATTGGCAGGGATTGGGATATATGTTAAATGTTTCTGAAATGATGGGGTGGCAGAACATTCACTGCACAGCTCTTGAAGAACAAGAAGGAAACCTAGTTTAAGTCAGAAAGTAGATTCTTGAATGCTTACCGATTAGTGTGGGAGTTGCAATGCATGAACCAACTGCGATTGTTGTCAACATACATAGCCCAGGCTTTGTCATCCTTCCCCAGCATCATGTCCTTGACCACATTGATTCTAGCAACCCCAAAGGCTGGATCCGGATGGTTATCGTAACGGTCCACATGCAGCTCCCAATAGTGGACTCCCTTTGAGAAAGCTGCAGTGCCCAGAACCACACGATCATCATAGCTACTGCAGGTAGCAGTCTGGTTGTCATTTGAAAGGACTATGTCTCTGTGGGCTGAACAGGGATCAAATGTAAACCAAGCCACTATTAAAAAAAAAAAAAAGAGGAGGATATACAGATTAGAACAATGTAACAACTAACTGGATTGTGATAAGCATTAGCACTGTAATAATAAATGAAGATCAATTATGATTCAGGATACAGTTCTTTGAAATCTAGGACCCATATAGACAGCTCACCTTAATCAACTTTTTAAACTGTTGAGATTATTACCACATAGCCACTACCATAATATGAAAATAAAATATGATAACATGCATATTTGGGGGTTCAAAAATTTAGGAATTAGGAATTAGTGACATCATTTACAGATTATCATCAGCTGCATGATCTTGTTAAAAACATGATCTCAAAATTCTTTATGCTCTCTATAATATCTAAGAATTAAAAGTTCCATTTGTCACCATTCTTCTGTAGATTTCCCTACATGACTTCAATTTACATCACTAAACCAAATTTTCCCAATGGGAGAGGAGACGAGAGGAATGTTTTATGATTCATAAAGGTTAAGTATCATTAATCAATATTAATTTTAAGTTTTATTATATGGAATTGAAGCTTAAATTCACATGCATAATTTATAAGAAGTTATGGAAGATAATTTCCTTGTAGTGAGTTGAAAGGTAATTAAATTCTGGAAGTAGGAACTTCAGATACACTGAAGCTCAATCAGGATCATTATTATCAGCCATATTAATTAACTTTAAAAACATTTGTAGTTCTTGTAGAATGTCTGCCTGCCTGCCTGCCCGCCCGCCCGCCCGCCCGCCTGCCTGCCTGTCTATCATCATCATCTATCTACCTACCCAGAATCCATTAGAAAACCTGGCAAATTCTGAAATGTTTTCAAGACTTGACAGATTCTGACATGGAAAGTGCCAAAAACACTTGTGCATTATGATATACATTATCCCAAACGTAATCAAGCTTGTTCAGATAGAACTGAATTCTATCTGAAACTGGGATTTTTTTCAATGTTATGAGAAAAGGAATTGCTTTTGATCTGAAATTCTCTGGAAACCAACAAAATCTGAAAATCCAATATATTCTCATGGTATAGGATGTTCAAGAAGGAAACATATATATGTTAAAGAGAGTTGGTGTTAAATGATTCAGATACTTATTCCTCACTGTTAATTTCAGAAGCCTGATCTAGAAACTCAAAGCTACTTTTGTAGGAAGTATTAATTCTTAAAATTCAACTGATTCCAAATATAAAGACATTTCAGGAAGGGAAAGTATTTTTTTTAGAGACTCACCATCAGAAGTTTGTAAAACAACAGTCTTGCTATAAGGGCCTACTCCAGATGAATTAAAGGCTTTCACTCTTGCATTGTAGGTACTATTGAAATGAAGACCATCAATTGTACACAAGGTTTCCTTGCCCACATACACTTCCTAAAGAACAAAAAGAAATACAGATGTTCATCAAAAAGACCTTAAATTGCTTTTGAACAATGATCACTGCGAGACAGAGCAACATGAACACCAGTTATGAAGAAATTATACTAAAAAGTTATGCATAATTAGAAAAGCCTTGAAGGGTATGATTTCATTTTTTAAAAAAGCAATTATTTTCTAAGAAGAGAGATTCATTGTTGTCCGGCTAGATCCAGTAAGCGCTGTCAAAGTATAGGCACGTAAGGGGAAAATGAAAAGGTTCCAGACTGGAGCAGCATGCACAAAAACCGTAACACAGTGGTTCTCAACCTTTTTAATGCCGTGACCCCCAACTGGTCGTAAGTCGAGGACTACCCAACTGGTCATAAGTCGAGGACTTCCCTGCCCGGGAGCGCCGTGCATGCGTGGTGCCGCCCCCTGCACCGGCTGAGGCGTAGCTGGCAAGCAGCAGAGATGGAGCAGGCCAACCACCGGCTGGGCCACCAGCTGGCCCAGCCCAAGGGAGGTAAGGCACCCGCCGGGCCCCACGCGCGCCAGCAACCCTCCCTGCGCCCGCCGGCCTCCCACCTCCCACCCCGGCCCTCTTTTACTTACATTTTTAGTAGTTGCTCAGCAGGGAGGGGTGGAAACTTCCAGACAGCTTGCCTTCGCTGCAGACAACTTGCAGCACCGTTTGCAGAATGGGACTTTTGGCGGGCTCAGCAGGGCAGAGACAGCCTGGACAATTCCTATTGGCTTTTGAAAGCCAATAGAATTAGACTCTATTCAAGAGAGTCTATTCTATTGGCTTTCAAAAGCCAATAGAATAAAAGGGAGTAGCACAGCTAAGGAAAAGGGGGAAAAAATGGCGGACTGCATTGTTTGGCGACCCCCGTGAAATGGTCGTTCGACCCCAAATGGGGTCCCGACCCACAGGTTGAGAACCACTGCCGTAACAGTTGCATTGGCCAAGACTTGCAGAGGGATCCTTTAATTTAGGATCCTCCATCCCTCCCTTCTGATCTTGTATGGAATTCTTCTGCAACAGGAAGAAGCATTGGATTCCCTTTTCTAATACTAAACATGCCCATCATAAGGCATGCACACCAGCGTTTGCCCAAGAAAGCCAAATATAAATAAAAGAGGAACAAAATCTCACTCGAAACTGGCCACCATCTCCATCATCAAGTTCCAAGATGTATCCCTCCACTGGGTTGTGGCTAAAAGGCGGCATCCGCCAGGCAAGTGTCACACTGTTGTTTCGAGTACAGCATTTCTCCAACTGCAGAAGTGGGACTGGGGGTACTGAAAGAGGAACTAAGCACAATTAGTGCAACTCTGCCCTTACCTTTTGGGCTGGGCATATAGTGAGCCACACAACATTCATGTAACAAGAAATCATAATTGACCTCCTTAGACCAACCAACATGAGGCCTGAGTTCTGAAATGGCCATCTTGACACTTGCAATCTCATCACGACTACCTCATGTTCCCCTTAAACTAATATGGAAAAAGCTGAGCAATCAAACATTGAGAAAGTCACCATCACGCCATCTTGCAAACTTCATCTCGGCATACAATGACTCAGCTAGCTCAGTGTTTCTTGAAAACTTTAAGTTGTGTGGATTTCAATTCACTGAGGACAGACACACATCTAAAAATTGTCAAGATCGAGAAACGCTGAGCTAGACAATAGTTTTGGTTTATGTTCAGTGCTGTTCTTTAAGTAGTCCACCTGTCAGTGGATTCAATGGGCCTGTGAATGGGAGCTCAATGCAATTCACCTAGTCAGGATGCAGATGTAATGTGATTGGCACTATGCACCATTTGAGCAGTTAGTCAGAGTATAGGCTTCCTATACTCTCCATCCATGTCTTCTATGGGTGAGGGCCTTTGTTTGGTCATTTGCAAAATCCATGGAGCAACTGCTGTGAGGGAAAGCCTCTTCCTGAAAAAGTCCCATTGTTTGGTTGCATTTTTAAGGCTTCTTGAAAATTGCAAACAGTGAAACAACTGCTAAAAACTTGAAATATCTTATTTCATGCTATAAGCCCGTCATGTCGGATAATCTCTCTATGAACTCATATTAAAATTCTTCTCACTGTGCACTAAATTTTAATGAATTTCCCTTTTTCCTGTATCAAGGCCCCTGCAATAGCTATTAAGTTTTAAAAAGGAAAAGGAAAAAAAGAGAGCAGTAAGTAATACATTTAACATCATTTTTAGTAAATCATTTTTTACATTGCAAGCACATTAATTTCCCAGCCTTCTGACTGTTGTAAAATGAATTGCTGTTCCATATGATCTGTATCACATAGTAATGTTAGAATAGGAGTAGATGATGGTTCTTGGATCATAAGAGTTGTTCTTTAGCACACATGCAAATGGCTTTGCTTCAATTTTTGTCCTGACATTTAATTTTGTTTAAAGCTGAAACTACTATATATTATTAGCACGTTTTACTTCCTACTTTCCCCATTCACCTACATTTTCTCAGGGCCAAAGCAATTTTAGTCTGTCTCTTTATCATATACCTCTTCCTTTGATAATGTTCTTGGAACCTTCTACAAAGCAAGGCAGCCCAAAATCTTAAACCCCTCTGCAACTCAGACTAACTTGAGCACAACCAAACAGAACACTCCCCCAGCCAATCAGAGCACAGCCAACCCCCCAGCCAATCAGAGCACAGCCACGCCCCTAACCAATCAGAACACACCTCCACCCAATCAGAACACAGCCAAGCTCCCACCCAATCAGTTCATACCCCCACTGGCAGTTAAAAGGAAGAAACAGCTAAGACCACACATTGCTGCTCGAAGCACGAAGCTGAAAACACCAGCCTGAAGATGACGAATGGGACTTCGTCGAAACGTCGCCAAGACACTTCCAATTTTACGTGGGAGAAAACCCGAAAAACCAAAGACCTACATATATATATATATATATATATATATATATATATATATATATAATATATATGTTTTCTGAGGTTTTCGCGGGTATTTGTATGTAGGTCTTTGGTTGTTCGGGTTTTCTCCCACATAAAATTGGAAGTGTCTTGGCGACGTTTCGACGAAGTCCCATTCGTCATCTTCAGGCTGGTGCTTTCAGCTTCGTCGAAACGTCGCCAAGACACTTCCAATTTTACGTGGGAGAAAACCCGAACAACCAAAGACCTACATACAAATACCCGCGAAAACCTCAGAAAACAAATATTGAACCTCTACGGGGAGGAAATCCACCATCTGACCAGGACCTATGAAAAACTTGAAGTCCAAAGAGCTTCCATTTTATGCGACCTCGCATTCCTACGCAACTGCCGAGATCAAAATCTAATCCCCACATGTTTCCAACTGAAATTCCACTCCAACTCTGCAGCCACCAAACGGATCCTGAAAAGAACAGAATTGGCCCTAATCAGAAATGAACTTCACACAAAAAGATTCCTCCTAGACCGAATTAACAAAGATCTCCTCACATTCCACCTCAAACTCAGCAACAAGATCCACTGCTGCTCGAGGCACGAAGCTGAAAGCACCAGCCTGAAGATGACGAATGGGACTTCGTCGAAACGTCGCCAAGACACTTCCAATTTTACGTGGGAGAAAACCCGAACAACCAAAGACCTACATACAAATACCCGCGAAAACCTCAGAAAACAAATATTGAACCTCTATGGGGAGGAAATCCACCATCTGACCAGGACCTATGAAAAACTTGAAGTCCAAAGAACTTCCATTTTATGCGACCTCGCATTCCTACGCAACTGCCGAGATCAAAATCTAATCCCCACATGTTTCCAACTGAAATTCCACTCCAACTCTGCAGCCACCAAACGGATCCTGAAAAGAACAGAATTGGCCCTAATCAGAAATGAACTTCACACAAAAAGATTCCTCCTAGACCGAATTAACAAAGATCTCCTCACACTCCACCTCAAACTCAGCAACAAGATCCACTGCTGCTCGAGGCACGAAGCTGAAAGCACCAGCCTGAAGATGACGAATGGGACTTCGTCGAAACGTGCCAAGACACTTCCAATTTTACGTGGGAGAAAACCCGAACAACCAAAGACCTACATATATATATATATATATATATATATATATATATATATATATATATATATATTTATATTTATATTTATATTTATATTTATATTTATATTTACATTGCCCCCAACAATCTGGGTCCTTCTACAAAGCAAAGCTTTAGAGTTTGAGAAAATTATAACTTAGTTAGCATTTTTTATTTTTTAAAAGAATATTAGTTTCCAACTGAAGCTTTTCTACCTGCAAATAGAAAGTATTAAACATTAACTAAGATATCCAGCATTGATTGAGGTTGTTACTTGTACTTCTTGGAATCATGGAAATAGAAATGGAAATTATTCAACATCTAAAAAGTGACTTTCATTTGGAGAATTGAGCCCTAGCTCTTGGTCTGGATTAGAATGACTCTCCCTTTCACAGCTATTCTTTGCAATCCCATACAAAAGGAAAGGGAAATCAGCCTACAAAAGCTCACCCCTACATTTCATCTGAATGAAGTCCAGCTGATGGATTGACTGCAGCAATGGTTCACTGTCCAACGTCAGATCGAATTCAGCAGATACTTTTGGTTCCAGGGCTCCTTTCACCCACTGCTCCTGAGACACTTGAACACGTTTGATTAAAGCATCTGAAATCTGAAAAAGAACACGTTTTGCAGACTAGACAAAGCTATTGAAGAATCAGTTCATCAACTGGAAGGCAAACGATCCCAGTCAATCAAAGAATGGGCCCCCTGAGGCAGGTGAGTCAATTTTGAGAGATTTAGGTCTGAAGACATTTAAATCAAGTAGCAAATATTTTCAGCTAGCTTCTGAAGGTGGGATGCATAGTGAACGCTAATATGTCAATAAACTAATCAATTTCAAATGAGGCTTACAAGAATCCACCTTTCTCCATGTTTCCATCTTTGTCACTGAATTGGATAGAATAAGCCAGTGGTGGCAAACCTATGGCACGGGTACCAGAGGCGGCACTCAGAGCCCTCTCTGTGGGCATGCGCACCATCGCCCCAGCCCCACCTTCCCCCACAACCCCCTCCTCACCAGCAGCCCCCCCCGGAGGACAGTCACTCTCGAGCATGGCCCGCGGGGAGCAGTGCAGACAAGGGCATGGCAGCCAGACAGCAGGGACATGACTGTCTCATGCATTTGATGCTGTGGGGCGCAGGTGGAAGGCGTGGCTGCCATAGCACTGCTGGGCCATGTGGGTGATCTGCGGCAGGCTGTAGAGGCATTGGATGGCCCTGTGGGTGGGAGCGCAGCTGGGGTGGAGTGGGTAGGGGTGGGGGCAGGGGGTGGCGGGGAGGGGCCGGTTTTGGGGCATTCGGTCTCTAAAAGGTTCGCTATCACTGGAATAAGCTATATAAAAATATATATGAGGCTATTATGACAGCATTTATCACTGCCAAATTAGAATCCTTCATAAGAGATTGGTCATTTATCACTAAGACAAATGATAACTTACCTGTAAGAAACCAGAAGGATCATTTTCTTTGATTACTTCTAGACAATATTCCATAAGTCCTGTGGACTGTCGCAGTTTTAGAGTACAGTGGTTTATCTGGTCCCATACAACCTAGGGAGGGAAAATGCCTGTTGATCTCTCCAGCATTCACTGAACTGAAGAAATATTTTTGGAAACACTACCGTAGCAGAAGGGAGAAGAATTTGATGGAATAATATTTGCTTAGACCAGTGGTTCTCAACCTTTTTAATGCCGCGACCCCCAACCGGTCGTAAGTTGAGGACTACTCAACCGGTCGTAAGTCGAGGACTACTCAACTGGTGCAGCACCGTTTGCAGAATGGGACTTTTGGCGGGCTCGGCAGGGCAGAGACAGCCTGGACAATTCCCATTGGCTTTTGAAAACCAATAGAATTAGACTCTATTCAAGAGAGTCTATTCTATTTGCTTTCAAAAGCCAATAGAATAAAAGGGAGTAGCACAGCTAAGGAAAAGGGGGAAAAAATGGCGGACTGAGTTGTTTGGTGACCCCCGTGAAATGGTCGTTCGACCCCAAATGGGGTCCCGACCCACAGGTTGAGAACCACTGGCTTAGACAAACATATTGATATCAACTTCTTTTTCAATAGCTCCAACTATAAGCTCTAGGTAGGTCCTGATATTAGGGTGGTCAAATGACATAATAAGGCAAGTTCAATTTGCAGGGAAAGATTTTAAAAACATTCAGGATCCATTTATATTTATGGCTGAATTATCTGAATCACAAAGGTGTGTGACCTGTGGTTTCACATATATAGATTAGATATGGCAAATTAGGGCCTAGGACTACAAAGGATTTTTTGGTAAGCTCTTTGCTCATAAGATTCAGTACTGATACTGAATAATCAATGTGAAGCTTTAGAGCTATGCATTCAAGAACATGGATTTTAAAGATGATCAGGCTCCTTTATCCAGCAGATATGAATAAAGTTTTCATCACCTTTAGCTTGTGCTCCCGCTCTTTGGTAACTTTTGTGAGCAGTTTGGCCTTCTGGCGAGTCAAAGCATCAACTAAAGCATCACACTGAGCAACCAGACAAGCTTCATAGTCCAAGCCATTTTCCTAAAAAAAAGAAGTAGGACACCATTTACCTTTATAATCATATTCTGAAAACACCAAAACTACTGTGGGTAACTAACAGTTATTTTTCTGCTCTTTTCTAAACACTTTGGAATCATACAGGATATTCTTAATAACTAGCTAGTGCCCTGAAAACATATAGTTACTGCTATAAAATGTCCACAAGTATATTACTAAGAGGATGATTCTGACAGAAGATAAAAATATCCTTTCCTAACTTGGCACCATTAAATGTTTATATAAACTCTTGGGTGTTATTAATCAGACTTGTTTCCTTCCTTCCTTCCTTCCTTCCTTCCTTCCTTCCTTCCTTCCTTCCTTCCTTCCTTCCTTCCTTCCTTCTTCACATTTGAACAGCCCATCTTTCTCATTTTCCTGTGCAAATCCTTTTCCTGATATGCTGACATTGAGAAATTCAGCTATGGGAATCACATCCATGATAATTCACAGATCCTGTTCATTTCAATGAAATCCATATATGATATTGTGGATTTTTGGTACATGGGTTCTGGACTAGTAAGGTAGTGTAGGCTTTGAGTGGAAAACACCATAAAGATGCAGGTTTCACAATCGTGTTCAATTAGATACATATCAATGTATTCTCACGCCATACTATCATTCATACACATTCATTTCTCTCTCTCTAATATACAAGCTGACATAGGTACATTTGATGCCCATGTCTTGCATATCTGCACCTGCTCCCTGAAAATAAAGAAGAAGCAAGATTGCCAAATAAAAGAGAAATAATGAAGATTTTTCTTCCCAGCAAATTAACCTGAAGACCACTGTGGGAAACCAATGGGTTGAGGAATGGAGTTGAAGGTAAATTTCCCATTATGATCTGTGATTCCAAGTGTTGGGTTGGAAACTATGGCTTTTATTGACTTGGCTTAGCTACTTAACCAGCAACACTGCAATTACACAAAAAATTGCCCAGTAGACTTGCCATTGTAGAGTTTTATTATGGCCATTCAAAACAATGTTTAAAAAAGCTCAAATTCTATATTCATTACCTGTATCTGCTGTAAAATATTTTTCAGTTGCACCAAAAATTCTTTTGCTTCCTTTGCTTTGTCTGAAATGCCATTCAAAGCTTGGGACAGTTGTGCCTGGAAGAAATAAAAAATTAAATTATCCACCACAATTCAGGCCTGCTTGCCTGCCTTTCTATTTCAAGCCCTGGCAATTGTACATAAAAAGATTGAGATTTTACTTAAGAGGTGGGTGGGGGATGAAGACTGGGAACTAGGATCATGGGGACCCAGATTCAAGTCCACCTTCAACCATGGAAGCTCAATGGATAACTTCAGCTACTTGTTCTCTCCTCCCAATACATCTCATTGGCTTCTTGTGGGATAAAATGGGAGAAAGTAAAACTATGTATGTCCCCTTAAGCTTCTGGAGAAAAGGTAGGAAATCAAATAAATTAATAAAAAGCAGTATCACCGTTATGTTTTTCTTGGCATATTATTTTGCAAAACCTATAGGCCTGTGGTGGCAAACCTATGGCATGTGTGCCATAGGTAGCACTCAGAGCCCTCTCTGTGGGCACGCGTGCCGTCGCCCCTGTCTTAGGTCTGCAGCTGGGTTTTATAAACCCTTTTTGCTTTAGGCCTCCACCGCCATGTGCAAAAAAAATAGATTCAATCAATCAATCAATTTCAATTTCTCGCGGGAAAAAAAATTGATTTGATTGAACTTTTTAGTCCCAACCAGTCTGCCGTTACCACTGCAGCCACGCCCACCCAATGGGCCACGCCCACTCAGCACACGACGCTACATAGGTGGGGTTTGGGTTGCAGTTTGGGCACTCGGTCTCTAAAAGGTTGGCCATCACTGCTATAGACCATTCCACTCTGTTGGCTCTATATGGTATACATGCGCCCAATACATAATGGGAATAGAATAGAATTCTTTATTAGCCAAGGAATTTGTATCTAGTGCATAAACTCTGTGTGTATGTGTGTGTGTGTGTGTGTATACAAAATGTATATATATATTTTACAAGCAACAACCAGAAAATATTTTTCCCAGTATAACCAGTGAGTCAATCTCTGTATTCCATGATCCTGAATCTTGGACCATTACATCAAGATATTTGAAATTCCTTACTTGTTCAATGTTCTGCCCTTCTATTACCCATTGTAGCTTTCCTACATTTTTAGCAAATATCATCACGTTAGTCGCATGAAAAATTATTCCAAACCGATACTACCTATAATACTACGCCAAGCTTTTGTGTGCAGGTTGAGGCCAGTTGGAGCTGCATCATCAGCATATAGCAGAAGAGAGACATTCATAGCTGCTAATACAATAGAAAGTGAATTTTGGAGTTACATCTTACTCTAATTCTAGAATTATCATACAATTTCTGAATAATAGCAACTGCTGATCAATATGAGAATCCCCATTTTTTCCATACAAAGGGCCTCAAAATTAAGCCAAATGCTCATTTAAAGACCATATAATGAAAAATACATCTTCAATATATTTTTCAAATGACATAAAACTAGAATATAATTTAATATGGAATGGACAGATCTGAAGCCCACCTGTTCATGGCCTAGGATAGTTTTCGTTCACTAGCCATTCTGGTAATTTCCATTCTAAAGGCCAAATATAAATCTTATTGAAAATGCTAAGGAAACTAATAATCCAATAGCTGACAGGATCAACCCTTTCCCCTTTTCTGAAAATTGGGACACTTAATTCCACTCCCCAATAGTAGGGTATGTATTGCTAGATTGGTCTATATACGAAAATGTGAGGCTAAGTCAGGAACCCGCCAATCAACATTACATTTCAACATTTCAGCTAAGATATAATCATAGCCAGAAGCCTCACCTAACATTAGAATGTTAATAAGCTTCCTTACTTCAAACTCTGAGACTAGCAGCCAGTCAGGGAAGGTCTTATTATATTGCTGTAAATCCATAGGTTCTTCTTCATGAGACTCATAGATAATTTTTAAGGAAACTTCCCACACAACCATTGGGGACTAGCCTGCTGAATGAAATGAGTTATTGTTAGCCACCCAAATACAATTTGCCAAACTAAAGAGGGGATTTCATCTGCAAAGAACAAAGGTTGTCATGGTTTCATTCGAGCTTCTCTCTTTTGAATGATTTGTATTGGTTTATTTTTTTCAATTTTAATAATTTAGAAATGAATATTAGTGCAGAGACTTTGATATACAATGTATGCTAAATTTCTTCTTTCAAGCCATCCCTTGTATCAAGACATTGGTTACCTTGCTTTGTTACCTTGCTTCATCTGCAGAGTTTCTGGAGGCTCTGACTGAGTACATTGGAGAAACTAGGACCTATTCTGGCATTTAGCATGACCTCCTTTATCTCAGGGGTATTTAGAAGTTTTAGGGTTGAAAGGGAGTATCCTAATTTTCATCTCATAAAATCTTTATCTGGGCCTCTACAGATAGATGGGGCTGGGAGAGAAATGTCATATCTGGCTAAGGAACAGGAAAAAAAAGCATCATTCTCTTCCCTCCCAATTCTCTCAAATAATTGCAAGCACAACAGATTTTATATATTGCCTTTGGATGGTGTTGGAATACTGTAAGAAGGAAAACTTTACTTTCATGCCAGTGCAGCTAATGATGCTTTCAGTTGTCTCCATGGGTTAGATGGAGATTAAGGCAATGCTGGAGGAACAAGGCAGAACACTGGTGAGGTTGGGGGCATGATTATCCCATGGTTAAATATAAGGGTTGTCAAGGCCAGACAAACACATACACACTATGCCAGTGGTGGTTAACCTATGGCACGGGTGCCAGAGGCGGCACTCAGAGCCCTTTCTGTGGGCACGCGCACCATCGCCCTAGTCCTAGGCCTTCAGCTGGGTTTTATAAAACCTTTTCGCTTTAGGCCTCTGCGGCCGTGTGCAAAAAAAAAAAAAGGGGGGGGTTCAATCAATCAGTCAATTTCAACTTCTCACGGGGAAAAAAATCTTGCAAAGTTGGAATTGATTGATTGAACTTTTTAGTCTTACCCAGTCTGCCGTTACCACTGCAGCCACGCCCAGCCAATGGGCCACACCCAGCTGGCACCTGACGATGCATAAGTGGGTTTTGGGTTGCAGTTTGGGCACTCGGTCTCTAAAAGGTTCGCCATCACTGCACTATGCTCTTTTAAATAGGCAGGCTGTCTCTTATCATAGGAGCATCCAAATATCTTGGCAAACAACCAAAGTAAATATTTAGCTATACTTTTGAAAATTATCATCAATATTCTCTGCAGTCTACAAACTCTTTCACATTATACTGAAAGATTTCCTTTGGAACTAAGTGGGGATGTTGTAAATGTCACTGAGGGTCCCTACACCTGCATTCAAGCAATGACTGTAGCAGGGCTGGGTTATTTTTCAGAGAATTTTCTTAACCACTTATGCCTAAACCTGACAATAAAGCAGCCTATGCAACAGCAGGTCTTCTATTGATTCTTTGAATAACCATCAATTCTGCTATTCCTTCTCAAATAAGGGTTCATTTGTTATCCTGGGGCTAACAGCTGCAACAGAGTATTATTGATTTCTCTCTGATCTTGTTGCTGACTGCAATTTACAGGTTTTGGGACTATTGAGGCCGGCTTTGCACGCTATTTCAGAAAAGCCAAATAATGGCATTGTCATTTCTACAATAACTACTTTACAGGATAAGACCAACAACCAGCTCTCAGAAGCCACCTAGAGGTCTCTTCAAAGAGAAGCATGAGCAAATGGCCCTCTCTATCAATGGGCTGCAGTTACTAATTAAAATAATAAAAACCTGTTGGGATACTAACCAATTTGGCCTGCTACATTATTATGTATATTAAATTTTAACTCCATCTTTATTATTTGCCATTCTTGAACCTATGTATCCATCTAGGAAGCATATACTACTCAAAGAGGTAGATATATTTTAACAGAACAAAGAGCTTGCCAAGCTTTTTGTTAAGCGCAATACATTGTTAAATGTGCAAGTCACAGTAAACAGCATGATTGAAGTTGATTGTATTAACGGATTGCCTTTGTACTGTATGTACTATAGGCCCCCTGCTATTCTGCGGCTGTCACGATTGGGGGTACTAGGTGTTACAGAAAGAGAAGCTGCCTTTTTGTTTTTCTGTGGGAATGGAGGGTATACATACCTCAATTATTTCAGTTCTAGTAATTTCATTGTTTTTAAAATAGTAAAAATAAAATTTTAAGGATGCAAACAAAAGATAGATCTCTGCCTACAGCTACTGTTTGGGACTTATGCTGGTACTCTAATTCTCAAGGATTTAGTTACATCAAGTCACATTTCAGGAAAACAGATCCTTTGCCATGGTCACCCAAGAGAAATGGCTTCAGCCTCACTAGATTCAATGTACCATGTTGGTCAACATTGAGCAATTAAAAAAAACCAAAACAATTGGGTTACTTTTGAGTTCTTCAGCAATTCAAATACAGGTCATCTCAGAAGATATGGTCTTCATGTGATGCAACACTTATCCAGCCAACATTTTGTACCCAGCATCCCCATTTTGTATAGAGACATTTCTTTGTGGTTCTAAAAGTTGTCTCTTAAAAAGCAAAGTAAATCAGGCAAATTGGGCAGTTACCAACCTCTGGCTTTTAAATCAATTAAAGCATACTGATTTGCATTATTGTAATCGTAATATATCAACATAGAGATAGATGCTCAAATTAATGTTCCAGTCCAATCTATCTAAAAGGCAGCAGCTGAAGCAGGCTGCTCAAAGATCTTGTCTAAGACATAGGGGCAAAATCACCTAGCTTAACTGCTCATCCACAAAATTTGAGACTATACACCTAGCCCTTTCCTGAGCCAGAGTTTTTCCAAGGTAATACTAATAAGGGTAAATCAATGTCTCATATTATTTTTCTTACTGTTCAAGTGTTCTGTGCAAGCTTCTGAGAAAACCCAGGTGCATTGTTTTATTACTTTGAATAAATTTCAGTCAACAATTTTAATTACTTCCTGTATCCTCAATTTGCATCTCCTTTTAATCTTTGTATTGCTTTCATTAAACTTTCTGAGGGCTAAACTTTGCTTGGCTCAAATAAGAATATCCATCTGCGTCATACTATGAAACATCTCCCCTCT